TCTCCTCCCCGCCAGAAACCTTGTCCTCACCGCAAGGAACCTTGTCCACACCGCCAGGAACTTTGTCCTCAACGCCATTAACCTTGTTCTCACCGCCAGGAACCTTGTCCTCCCCGTCAGGAACCTTGTTCTCACCGCCAGGAACCTTGTCCCCACCGCCAGGAACCTTGTCCTCATCGCCAGGAACTTTGTCCTCACCGTCAGGAACCTTCTTCTCACCGGCAAAAACCTTGTCCTCACCGCCAGGAACCTTGTCCTCACCGGCAGGAACCTTGTCCTAATTGCCAGCAACCAGCCCCTCATTGCCAGGAACCTTATCCTCATTGCCAGGAACCTTGTCCTCACCGCCAGGAACTTTGTCCTCACCGTCAAGAACCTTGTCCTCACCGCCAGGAACCTTGTCCTCTCTGCCAGGAATCGTGCCCTCACCGGCAGGATCCTTGTCCTCAGTGTCACGAACATTGTCCTCAGCATCAGGAACCTTGTCTTCACCGGCAGGAACCTTGTCCTCACCACCAGGAACCTTGTCCTCACCGCCAGGAACCTTGTCCTCACTACCACAAGCCTTGTCCTCACCGCCACAAACCCACTCCTCGTCGTCAGGAACATTTTCCTCAGCATCAGGAGCCTTGTACTCACTGCCAGGAAACTCGTCCTCACCGCCAGGAACATTGTCCTCACCACCAGGAACTTGTCCCCACCGTCAGGAAGCTTGTCCTCACCGTCAGGAACCTTGTCCTCACTGCCAGGAACCTTGTCCTCACTGCCAGGAACCTTGTCCTCAACGCCAGACACCTTGTCCTCACCGGCAGGAGCCTTGTCCTTACCGCCAGAAACCTTGTCCTCACCGCAAGGAACCTTGTCCACACCGCCAGGAACTTTGTCCTCAACGCCATTAACCTTGTTCTCACCGCCAGGAACCTTGTCCTCCCCGTCAGGAACCTTGTTCTCACCGCCAGAAACCTTGTCCTCACTGCCAAAAACCTTGCCCTCACCGGCAGCATCCTTGCCCTCAGTGTCACGAACATTGTCCTCAGCATCAGGAACCTTGTCCTCACTGGCGCGAACCTTGTGCTCACCGCCAGGAACCTTGTCCTCACCGCCAGGAACCTTCTCCTCACAGCCAGGAACCTTGTCCTCACCGTCAGGAACCTTCTCCTGACTACCACAAGCCTTGTCCTCACCGCCACAAACCCTGTCCTCGTCGTCAGGAACCTTTTTCTCAGCATCAGGAGCCTTGTCTTCACTGCCAGGAACCTTGTCCCACAGCCAGAAACATTGTCCTCACCACCAGGAACCTTGTCCTCACTGCCAGGAACCTTGTCCTCACTGCCAGGAACCTTGTCCTCACCGCCAGAAACCTTGTCCTCACCGCCAGGGACCTTGTCCTCACCGCCAGGAACCTTGTCCTAATTGTCAGGAACCTTGTCCTCACCGCCAGGAACCTTGTCCTCACTGCCAGGAACCTTGCCCTCACCGGCAGGATCCTTGTCCTCAGTGTCACGAACATTGTCCTCAGCATCAGGAACCTTGTCCTCACCGGCAGGAACCTTCTCCTCACCGCCAGGAACCTTGTTCTCACCGCCAGGAACCTTGTCCTCACCGCCAGGAACCTTGTCCTCATTTCCAGGAACCTTGTCCTCACCGCCAGGAACCTTGTTTTCACTGCCAGGAACCTTGCCCTCTCTGGCAGGATCCTTGTCCTCAGTGTCACGAACATTGTCCTCAGCATCAAGAACCTTGTCCTCACCGGCAGGAACCTTGTCCTCACCGCCAGGAACCTTGTCCTCACCGCCAGGAACCTTGTCCTCACCGCCAGGAACCTTGTCCTCACAGCCAGGAACCTTGTCCTCACCGTCAGGAACTTTGTCCTCACCGTCAGGAATCTTGTCCTCACCGCCAGGAACCTTGTCCTCTCTGCCAGGAATCGTGCCCTCACCGGCAGGATCCTTGTCCTCAGTGTCACGAACATTGTCCTCAGCATCAGGAACCTTGTCTTCACCGGCAGGAACCTTGTCCTCACCACCAGGAACCTTGTCCTCACTACCACAAGCCTTGTTCTCACCGCCACAAACCCACTCCTCGTCGTCAGGAGCAATTTCCTCAGCATCAGGAGCCTTGTACTCACTGCCAGGAACCTTGTCCTCACCGCCAGGAACATTGTCCTCACCACCAGGAACTTGTCCCCACCGTCAGGAAGCTTGTCCTCACCGCCAGGAACCTTGTCCTCACCGCCAGGAACTTTGTCCTCACCGTCAGGAACCTTGTCCTCACCGCCAGAAACCTTGTCCTCACCCCCAGGAACCTTGTCCTCACCGCCAGGAACCTTGTCCTCACCCCCAGGAACCTTGTCCTCACGGCCAGGAACCTTGTCCTCACCGCCAGGAACTTTGTCCTCACCGTCAGGAACCTTGTCCTCACCTCCAGCAACCTTGTCCTCACCGTCAGGAACATTGTCCTCACTGCCACAAGCCTTGCCCTGACCGCAACAAACCTTGTCCCCGACGTCGGGAACCTTGTCCTCAGCATGAGGAACCTTGTCCTCACAGCCGGGAACCTTGTCCCCTCCGACAGGAACCTTGTCCTCACTGCCAGGAATCTTGTTCTCACTGCCTGGAACCTTCTCCTCACCGGCAGGAGCCTTGTCCTCACCGCCAGAAACCTTGTCGTCACCGCCAGGAACCTTGTCGACACCGCCAGGTATTTTGCCTCAACGCCATTAAGCTTGTTCTCACCGCCAGGAACCTTGTCCTCCCCGTCAGGAACCTTGTCCTCACCGCCAGAAACCTTGTCCTCACCGGCAGGAACCTTGTCCTCACCGCCAGCAAGCTTGTCCTCACCGCCAGGAACCTTGTCCTCACCGCCAGAAACCTTCTCTCACCGCCAAAAACCTTGACTTCCGCATCAGGAACCTTGTCCTCACAGCCAGGAACTTTGTCCTTACCGTCAGGAACCTTGTCGTCAACGCCAAGAACCTTGTCCTCACCGCCAGGAACCTTGTCCACACCGCCAGGAACCTTATCCTCACCGCCCGGAACATTGTCCTCACCGTCAGGCACCTTGTCCTCACCCCCAGGAACCTTGTTCTCACCGGCAGGAACTTTGTCCTCACCGTCAGGAACCTTGTCCTCACCCACAGGAACCTTGTTCTTACCGGCAGGAACTTTGTCCTCACCGTCAGGAACCTTGTCCTCACCGCCAGGAACCTTGTCCTCACCGGCAGGAACCTTGTCCTCACCGGCAGTAACCTTGTCCTCACCGGCAGGAACCTTGTTCTCGCCATCAGGAACCTTCTCCTCACCGTCAGGAACCTTGTGCTCACCGGCAGGAACCTTGTCCGCACCGCCAGGAGCTTGGTCCTCACTGCCTGGAACCTTGTCCTCACCGCCAGAAATCTTGTCCTCACCTCCAGCAACCTTGTTCTCACCGTCAGGAACATTGTCCTCACTGCCACAAGCCTTGCTCTGACCGCCACAAACCTTGTCCCCGACGTCGGGAACCTTGTCCTCAGCATCAGGAACCTTGTCCTCACAACCAGGAACCTTGTCCTCTCCGCCAGGAACCTTGTTCTCACTGCCAGGAACCTTGTTCTCACTGCCTGGAACCTTCTCCTCACCGGCAGGAACCTTGTCCTCACCGCCAGCAAGCTTGTCCTCACCGCCAGGAAACTTGTCCACACCGCCAGGAATTTTGCCTCAACGCCATTAAACTTGTTCTCACCGCCAGGAACCTTGTCCTCCCCGTCAGGAACCTTGTCCTCACCGCCAGAAACCTTGTCCTCACCGGCAGGAACCTTGTCCTCACCGCCAGCAACCTTGTCCTCACCGCCAGGAACCTTGTCCTCACCGCCGGGAACCTTGTGCTCACCGCGACAAACCTTGTCCTCAACTGCAGCAACCTTACCCTCACCGGCAGGAACCTTGTCCTCACCGCCAGGAACCTTGTCCTGCCCGCCAGGAACCTTCTCTCACCGCCAAAAACCTTGACTTCCGCATCAGGAACCTTCTCCTCACAGCCAGGAACTTTGTCCTCACCGTCAGGAACCTTGTCGTCACCGCCAGGAACCTTGTCCTAACCGCCAGGAACCTTGTCCTCACCGCCAGGAACCTTGTCCTCACCGTCAGGAATCTTGTCCTCACCCCCCGGAACCTTGTTCTCACCGGCAGGAACTTTGTCCTCACCGTCAGGAACCTTGTCCTCACCGGCAGGAACCTTGTCCTCACCAGCAGGAACCTTGTCCTCACCGGCAAGGAACCTTGTCCTCACCGGCAGGAACCTTGTCCTCATTGCCAGGAACCTGCCCCTCATTGCCAGGAACCTTATCCTCATTGCCAGGAACCTTGTCTTCACCGCCAGGAACCTTGTGCTCACCACCAGGAACCTTGTCCTCACCGCCAGGAACTTTGTCCTCACCGTCAAGAACCTTGTCCTCTCCGCCTGGAACCTTGTCCTCATCGCCAGGCGCCTTGTCCTCACCGTCAGGAACCTTGTCCTCACTGCCACAAGCCTTGTCCGCACCGCCACAAACCTTGTCCTCATCGTCAGGAACCTTGTCCTCAAAATCAGGAACCTTGTCCTCACCGCCAGGAACTTTGTCCTCGCCGCCAGAAGCCTTGTCCTCACCGCCAGGAACCTTGTCCTCCTTGCCAGGAAGCTTTTCCTCATTGCCAGGAACCTTGTCCTCACCGCCAGGAACCTTGCCCTCATTGCCAGGAACCTTGTCCTCACCGCCAGGAACCTTGTCCTCACTGCCAGGAACCTTGTCCTCACCGGCAGGATCCTTGTCCCCAGTGTCAGGAACATTGTCCTCACCATCAGGAACCTTGTCCTCACCGGCAGGAACCTTGTCCTCACAGCCAGGAACCTTGTCCTCACCGTGAGGAACCTTGTCCTCACTACCACAAGCCTTGTCCTCACCGCCTTAAACCTTGTCCTCATCATCAGGAATTTTGTCCTCATCATCAGGAACCTTGTCCTCACTGCCAGGAACCTTGTCTTCACGGCCAGGAACCTTGTCCTCACCACCAGGAACTTGTCCCCCCCGCCAGGAAGCTTGTCCTTACGGTCAGGAACCTTGTCCTCACCGGGAGGAACCTTGTCCTCACCGCCACGAACCTTGCCCTCACCGCCAGAAACCTTGTCTTACACGTCAGGAACCTTGTCCTCACTGCCACGAACCTTGTCCTCAGCGCCAAGAACCTTGTATTCACCGGCAGAAACCATGTCCTCACCGCCAGAAACCTTGGGCTCAACGGCAGGAACCTTGTCCTCACTGCCAGGAACCTTGTCCTCACAGCCAGGAACCTTGTCCTCACAGCCAGGAACCTTGTCCTCACCGCCAGGTACCTTGTCCTCACCGCCAGAAACCTTCTCCTCACCGCCAGGAACCATGTCCTCACGGTCAGGAACCTTGTCCTCACCGCCAGGAACCTTGTCCTCAAAGCCAGGAACCGTGTCCTCACGGGCAGGAACCTTGTCCTCACCAGCAGGAACCTTGTCCTCACCGGCAGGAACCTTGTCCTCACGGGCAGGAACCTTCTACTCACCGGCAGGAACCTTGTCCTCACCGGCAGGAACCTTGTCCTCACCGGCAGGAACCTTGTCCTCATTGCCAGGACCTTGTCTTCATTTCCAGGAACCTTGTCCTCACCGTCAGGAACTTTGTCCTCACTACCACATGCCTTGTCTTCACCGCCATAAACCCTGTCCTCATCGTCAGGGACCTTGTCTTCAGCATCAGGAACCTTGTCCTCACTGCCAGGAACCTTGTCCTCACCTCCAGGAACCTTGTCCTCACCACCAGGAACTTGTCCCCACCGCCAGAAAGCTTGTCCTCTCCGCCAGGAACCTTGTCCTCACTGCCAGGAACCTTGTCCTCACTGCCAGGAACCTTGTCCTCACCGCCAGGAACCTTGTCCTCATTGCCAGGAACCTTGTCCTCGCCGCCAGGAACCTTGTCCTCACTGCCAGGAACCTAGTATTCACCCGGCAGGATCCTTGTCCTCAGTGTCACGAACATTGTCCTCAGCATCAGGAACCTTGTTCTCACCGGCAGGAACCTTGTCCTCACCGCAGGAACCTTGTCCTCACCGGCAGGACCTTGTCCTCACAGCCAGGAACCTTGTCCTCACCGTCAGGAACCTTGTCCTCACTACCACAAGCCATGTCCTCACCGCCACAAACCCAGTCCTCGTCGTCAGGAACCTTTTCCTCAGCATCACGAGCCTTGTCCTCACTGCCAGGAACCTTGTCTTCACCGCCAGGAACATTGTCCTCACCACCAGGAACTTGTCCCCACCGCCAGGAAGCTTGTCCTCACCGTCAGGAACCTTGTCCTCACTGCCAGGTACCTTGTCCTGAGTGCCAGAAACCTTGTCCTCACCGCCAGAAACCTTGTCCTCACCGCCAGGAACCTTGTCCTCACTGCCAGGAACCTTGTCCTCACCGCCAGGATCCTTGTCCTCACTGCCAGGAACCTTGCCCTCACCGGCAGGATTCTTGTTCTCAGTGTCACGAACATTGTCCTCAGCATCAGGAACCTTGTCCTCACCGGCAGGAACCTTGTCCTCACTGCCAGGAACCTTGTCCTCACCTCCAGGAACCTTGTCCTCACTGCCAGGAACGTTGCCCTCACCGGCAGGATCCTTGTCCTCAGTGTCACGAACATTGTCCTCAGCATCAGGAACCTTGTCCTCACCGGCAGGAACCTTGTCCTCACTGCCAGGAACCTTGTCCTCACCGCCAGGAACCTTGTCCTCACTGCCAGGAACCTTGTCCTCACCGCCAGGAACCTTGTCCTCTTTGTCAGGAATCGTGCCCTCACCGGCAGGATCCTTGTCCTCAGTGTCACGACCATTGTTCTCAGCATCAGGAACCTTGTCTTCACCGGCAGGAACCTTGTCCTCACCACCAGGAACCTTGTCCTCACCGCCAGGAACCTTGTCCTTACTACCACAAGCCTTGTCCTCACCGCCACAAACCCAGTCCTCGTCGTCAGGAACATTTTCCTCAGCATCAGGAGCCTTGTACTCACTGCCAGGAACCTTTTCCTCACCGCCAGGAACATTGTCCTCACCACCAGGAACTTGTCCCCACCGTCAGGAAGCTTGTCCTCACCGTCAGGAACCTTGTCCTCACTGCCAGGAACCTTGTCCTCACTGCCAGGAACCTTGTCCTCAACGCCAGACACCTTGTCCTCACCGGCAGGAGCCTTGTTCTCACCGTCAGAAACCTTGTCCTCACCGCAAGGAACCTTGTCCACACCGCCAGGAACTTTGTCCTCAACGCCATTAACCTTGTTCTCACCGCCAGGAACCTTGTCCTCCCCGTCAGGAACCTTGTTCTCACGGGCAGGAACCTTGTCCTCACCAGCAGGAACCTTGTCCTCATCGGCAGGAACCTTGTCCTCACGGGCAGGAACCTTCTACTCACCGGCAGGAACCTTGTCCTCACCGGCAGGAACCTTGTCCTCACCGGCAGGAACCTTGTCCTCATTGCCAGGACCTTGTCTTCATTTCCAGGAACCTTGTCCTCACCGTCAGGAACTTTGTCCTCACTACCACATGCCTTGTCTTCACCGCCATAAACCCTGTCCTCATCGTCAGGGACCTTGTCTTCAGCATCAGGAACCTTGTCCTCACTGCCAGGAACCTTGTCCTCACCTCCAGGAACCTTGTCCTCACCACCAGGAACTTGTCCCCACCGCCAGGAAGCTTGTCCTCACCGCCAGGAACCTTGTCCTCACTGCCAGGAACCTTGTCCTCACTGCCAGGAACCTTGTCCTCACCGCCAGGAACCTTGTCCTCATTGCCAGGAACCTTGTCCTCGCCGCCAGGAACCTTGTCCTCACTGCCAGGAACCTAGTATTCACCCGGCAGGATCCTTGTCCTCAGTGTCACGAACATTGTCCTCAGCATCAGGAACCTTGTTCTCACCGGCAGGAACCTTGTCCTCACCGCAGGAACCTTGTCCTCACCGGCAGGACCTTGTCCTCACAGCCAGGAACCTTGTCCTCACCGTCAGGAACCTTGTCCTCACTGCCAGAACCTTGTCCTCTCTGCCAGGAATCGTGCCCTCACCGGCAGGATCCTTGTCCTCAGTGTCACGAACATTGTCCTCAGCATCAGGAACCTTGTCTTCACCGGCAGGAACCTTGTCCTCACCACCAGGAACCTTGTCCTCACTACCACAAGCCTTGTTCTCACCGCCACAAACCCACTCCTCGTCGTCAGGAGCAATTTCCTCAGCATCAGGAGCCTTGTACTCACTGCCAGGAACCTTGTCCTCACCGCCAGGAACATTGTCCTCACCACCAGGAACTTGTCCCCACCGTCAGGAAGCTTGTCCTCACCGCCAGGAACCTTGTCCTCACCGCCAGGAACTTTGTCCTCACCGTCAGGAACCTTGTCCTCACCGCCAGAAACCTTGTCCTCACCCCCAGGAACCTTGTCCTCACCGCCAGGAACCTTGTCCTCATTGCCAGGAACCTTGTCCTCACCGCCAGGAACCTTGTCCTCACTGCCAGGAACGTTGTCCTCACTGGCAGGATCCTTGTCGTCAGTGTCAGGAACATTGTCCTCAGCATCACGAACCTTGTCCTCACCGGCAGGAACCTTGTCATCACCGCCAGGAACCTTGTCCTCAGAGCCAGGAACCTTGTCCTCACCGTCTGGAACCTTGTCCTCACTACCACAAGCCTTGTCCTCAGAGCCACAAACCCTGTCCTCATCGTCAGGAACCTTGTCCTCAGCATCAGGAACCTTGTCCTCACCGCCAGGAACATTGTCCTTACCACCAGAAACTTGTCCCCACAGCCAGGAACCTTGTCCTCACCGTCACGAACCTTGTCCTCACTGCCAGGAACCTTGTCCTCACTGCCAGGAACCTTGTCCTCACCGCCAGGAACTTTGTCCTCACCTCCAGGAACCTTGTCCTCACCACCAGGAACCTTGTCCTCATCGCCAGGAACCTTGTCCTCACCGCCAGGAACTTTGTCCTTACCGTCAGGAACCTTGTCCTCACCGCCAGAAACCTTGTCCTCACCCCCAGGAACCTTGTCCTCACCGCCAGGAACCTTGTCCTCATTTCCAGGAACCTTGTCCTCACCGGCAGGAACCTTGTCATCACCGCCAGGAACCTTGTCCTCAGAGCCAGGAACCTTGTCCTCACCGTCTGAAACCTTGTCCTCACTACCACAAGCCTTGTCCTCAGCGCCACAAACCCTGTCCTCATCGTCAGGAACCTTGTCCTCAGCATCAGGAACCTTGTCCTCACTGCCAGGAACCTTGTCCTCGCCGCCAGCAACCTTGTCCTCACCACCAGGAACTTGTCCCCACCGCCAGGAAGCTTGTCCTCACCGTCAGCAACGTTCTCCTCACCGTCAGGAACCTTGTCCTCACCGCCAGGAACCTTGTCCGCACCGCCAGGAACTTTGTCCTCACCGCCAGGAACCTTGTCCGCACCGCCAGAAACTTTGTCCTCACCGCCAGGAACCTTGTCCTCCCCGCCAGAAACCTTGTCCTCACCGCCAGGAACCTTGTCCTCACTGCCAGGAACCTTGTCCTCACCGGCAGGATCCTGGTCGTCAGTGTCAGGAACATTGTCCTCAGCATCACGAACCTTGTTCTCACCGGCAGGAACCTTGTCATCACCGCCAGGAAACTTGTCCTTAGAGCCAGGAACCTTGTCCTCACTGTCTGGAACCTTGTCCTCACTACAACAAGCCTTGTCCTCACCGCCACAAACCCTGTCCTCATCGTCAGGAACCTTGTCCTCAGCATCAGGAACCTTGTCCTTACTGCCAGGAACCTTGTCCTCGCCGCCAGCAACCTTGACCTCACCACCAGGAACTTGTCCGCACCGCCAGGAAGCTTGTCCTCACCGTTAGGAACCTTCTCCTCACCGTCAGGAAGCTTGTCCTCACCGCCAGGAACCTTGTCCGCACAGCCAGGAACTTTGTCGTCACCGCCAGGAACCTTGTCCGCACCGCCAGGAACTTTGTCCTCACCGCCAGGAACCTTGTCCTCACCGCCAGAAACCTTGTCCTCACCGCCAGCAACCTTGTCCTCACCGTCAGGAACATTGTCCTCACTGCCACAAGCCTTGCCCTGACCGCCACAAACCTTGTCCTCAACGTCAGGAACCTTCTCCTCAGCATCAGGAACCTTGGCCTCACAGCCAGGAACCTTGTCCTCACCGCCAGGAGCCTTGTTCCTACCACCAGGAACTTGTCCTCACCGCCAGGAACCTTGTCCTCACTGCCAGGAACCTTGTTCTCACTGCCTGGAACCTTCTCCTCACCGGCAGGAGCCTTGTCCTCACCACACGGTGCTGCAATAGTCAAAATGTGGCTGCAGAAGTGAGTTGAATATCAATTGCAGCGTCCTGTGGGGGAAAAGTGTTCTGGTTCGTTTTACTATTGCTCCAATGCCGCTGGCAATCTTTTTACACAGTCGATCGATATGTTCGCTCCAGGTAAGGTTCTCGTCAATGGTAACACGCAGAGATTTACAATTTGAAACCCGTTTTAATGACGCACCATCAATAACTAATGATGGAGCCGATTTCTCAAAAGTTCTTAATCTCTGTCTAGAACCAATTAACATAAACTGTGATTTCGATTTGTTAAGAGTGAGCTTATTAGCAATGAGCCATTCTTTAACGTTAGGGAGATAATGGTTCATATTATGTTCAATGACATCAATGCTATCACTATAGCAAAAGATAAATTTGTGTCATCAGCGTACATACGAGGTTGTGTATGAGAAAGACAGTTAGGTAAATCATTAGTGTAAAGAATAAATAATAAAGGCCCTAGAATTTTACCCTGTGGGATTCCACATGATAGGAAATGATTTTGTGAAAGGCACTAATCATTCACAAAACATTTTTGATTTCGGCTATTCATGCAAATACGATTTAAACCAATTATTTTCCATGCCCTTAATGCCGTATGTGTTTAACCACAGTTAATAGAATACATGGTTTGGAGACTCGATGAAAGTACACGTCACATGTGTATTGCATTTTTTCCCGCACAACCAATAGCAATGTTTAAATTGAGCATTTGTTCAAGTTACGAATGGATAACTCAACCACAAACTTGTTATTGGTTATTTGAGCGAAAATACAATACACACGTGACGAGATAGGACCAAATTCTTGCATAAAGCTGGACAATAACATAGTTGAGTATAGGTTATTTTGAGGCAACGAGGGGATATGTGATTTATTCACCGAGGCGCGCAGCGCCGAGGTTAATAAACACATCAATCCCCGAGGTGCCTCAAAATAACGTACTTATTTTTCACATTGCAAGGTCGCGTTAATGAGTCAGAATATAAATAATTCTTAATGCCATATTGCCTTCGTGATGTTGTTTTCTTCTCATTTTTTGTGCTGCAAAGACATTGCAGGTGAATATTAGAGGGATTATTAAACGGAAATTGATTAGAGGGGAATATTGAATATATTCCCCGATAAGAACAAAGGAAACCGAGCAGGGTAAAAAATAATGAGTTATATTGTACTTTACGAGTCTCAAAACCATCTATTAAAATAACTGTGTTTTAAAGTTAGATAAGAGAATTTCATGGTCAACAGTATCGAACGCTTTCTTGAGGTCTAAGAAAACAACAGCGTTAATATTCAATTCAATTCAATTCAAATTCAAAAGTCTTTTTATTAGATCAAAAGATAAAAATACATATCTTATGTTACAAGTATATATTAAGAATAAATTAGTAAAGTTTACATCATATGAATAGGTTATAGTTAAAAATTAATCTATTTGCAAACGACAATTTAAAACGTTCCGTGTTCACTCTTGGATACTGACTAAACTCTGTCCTCAAAGAGTAGCTTGTGGATTTTTTTCTTGGTATCAAGTCGACTATGGCACTCTTCTGATTTACAGAAGCTTTAAAAATATTTTTGTCTTGTATTTCTAAAAGATATCTAATATTTACAGGTTCTGATATATACTTTCGCTTAAAACATCTGTCAAAAAACCGTTGTAGAGTATTGAGTTCGGCTGGAGAAGAACCGTAGACGGACAGGCCAAACGTTATAGTAGATATTACTAGGGTCTTAAATAGATAATCTATCTCACATTGGCTATAGCCTTCTGCCCTGAGTGTTCGTATAACGTACAAGCATTTGTTTGCTTTGACCAATTTACCTCGCACATGACTGGTGAACTTGAGATTGTCTTGAAAAGTAGTACCTAAAATGGGAAGTTCTTTGCATTGGGGTATATTATAAACATTGTCAAGTTGATCATTATATCCCTTCTTCCGGATGATAAGCTCTTTACATTTACCAGGGTTACAAGTCATAAAATTGTCATCAGACCAGCTCAGGAATTGTCCAACTGTATCTGTTGATGTATCAGGACCCTCACTCCAAACTGGCACTATTATATTTGAATCGTCCGCATATTTAAAAAGAGCGTTCTCGCTGTCTATGTCCACCTCTAAATCATTTAGGAAAATATTAAAAAGGTAGGGGCCACTTACGCTCCCCTGTGTTGTACCTTTATTAACATCCATCCATTCTCCACAAAAATCTTTGCTTTCTATTCTTTAGAAAATTTAATATTAACCCGATCAATATTATATACGCCTAGTCATCAGTTGCCTCAAGTAAAGCAGTGACCGTAGAATGAAGGCACCGGAACCCTGATTGGTGACAAGATAATAGATTGTTTTCATTTAAAAATGCAAAAGTCTGATCGTAGACTACCCTTTCAAATACTTTTGCTACCACAGGAATAATCGATATCGAGCGATAGTTATTCAAGTCTGAACGATCACCCTGCTTAAATAATGGAATAATTTTCGAAATCTTCCAATCTTCAGGGAAGATTCCTGTAGCTATTGAGCAATTAAAAATTGAACAAAGAGAGTCTGCAATCAGATCAGCACATTCGTGAATAAGTCTTACTGAAATTTTATCCAAACCAGTAGCTTTGTTTTTGCATAATTTTCTCAATAGAGAAAGAACAGTGGAGCAATTAGTCAACTTTTCGTCACACTTCACACCAGTCAAATAACTAAGGTGTGAACGGTCATTAGCTGTGCAGGGAATATCATTGCAAGTTCAGGCTCAGCTCTTGCAAAATGATCATCAGTTGAAAGCTTCAGATAACTCCCATTGAGTCACTAATTGAAATACCGCACCGTTTGATTTATTTTATGTGCGAATTCTTTGTTTTCCTCGCAGTTAGCTCATTGATAATACCCCATGTCTTGCGTGAGTTACCTTCATTCTCACTATAAGTTAGAGTTATAAACCGAGTAGGAGGTATATAACTGATATATTGCCCCCGAGGACGCGTAGCGTCCGAGGGCAATATATCAGTTATAAACCGACTTTCGAGGTTTATAACTAACTTATATCACATTTGTGGAGGTTTTCTAACATATTTTGTCATTTTCAAAAATTTTTAATGAAAAATTCTCGCGTTTTGTCTGCAAGTTTAATCTAATCATTTATTCAAGGTATATAAGCTAGTTATAAACCTCGGACGATCAAAGAAAACCGACACAAATGTGATATAAAGGCATTTATATAATAATTCTCTTTAGCTTGCTTAATTTCGTTATTTACAGAATTGCGACATTTCTTAAAGATAGACCAATCATTGGGATCATTTGATCGGGAAGCTCTTTACTTCAAAATATCCCATTCATGCATGCGCTGTTTTAAATGTAATCCAAGATGATATTGAAGCTCGAACACGCTTAGATCTGAGGGGGGCATGCCTGTCAATTACAGTAGAAAAGATGTTTTTCCATGCTGATGCACACCACATATAATTCGGGTCGTCATGGGTATTTATGCAGTCCCAACTTTGCATACTAATATCATTACGAAATTTAGTACTATCAAAATGTTTAAAATTTCTGTAGCTAAATGCAGACCTTCCAACTTTGTGGCATGAAAATGAGTGAGATTTAGTTATTTCCTGTAATCTGAGTCATTTAGCCCGCCGACGGCGGGCTGGCGCCTGCCTTCGGCAGGCGTTGACCTAGGGGGGTTCGGGGGCATGCTCCCCCGGAAAATTTTTAAATTTGGAGTCTCTGAAATGCCATTTTCTGCATTTTGGGAGAAGATTAACAGAATTCTAAAGGTACAAAAATGGCATTAAAAATCTCAAAAGTAACACTTTTTGTACATCTGCATGCAATTATAAGTTTCATTTATTTTTTTATTTCGTTAATATTGTTTAAAAAGTAAAAGTCATTCTAAATTTAAATGTCAATGAGTTATAACTTGCGCGTATGTGCTCTGTTGTATTCATAAGTAGCAGATTTAGCTGCTTTTAATGCGTTATCATGCCCACGCGCGAATAATGCTAATTAATCACGCGAAATTAATAAGATTATAGTTTATATTTTACATAAAGCGCTGTCTGGGGAAATCCCTCATTAACTAAGTGTCAATTTACTAATTTGCGCAATAGTGCAACTTACGCAATACTATACGTTACACAGAAACTGCTCGAAAAATACTTTATTTTATAGCTATTGATTCAGCTAAATAGGAATATTTGCTTGCGAAGAGAAGCGTTAAAACAAAAGTTGGATCGCTTTCTATTTTTTCGCTTTTGCGTGAGAAAATAGGGTTTATGCGTGTGAGCGTGAGAAATATGTCAAATTCGTGTTGGAAGGTCTGCTAACTGTGCAGTGCCGCTATTGACCAGGTTAACTGTAAGTTTACGATAAACATATACCAGGCTATGATCACTAGTGCTGACATGAGCAACACCTGAACAAACCACCCTGTCCGGACTGTTAGCAAATATCATATCAATCAAAGAAGACGTCAGTACAATTTGAAACGCGCGTAGACTCACGAATAAGTTGATGCAGGCCATATACGTTTGCTATACTAGTTAGACGATTTGAATTATGATCTAGCTGAGAAGCCGCTACATTACAATTCATATCACCCATTATATAAAATTCAACACACTCTGCATCAATCCTGCCAACTAGTGTCTCAAAAAGCCTAAATTTGTCAACAGTCGAATCGGGTGGTCGATACCAAGTCATAATGAGAAAAGGCCTCGATCGTGGCTTGCGAATTTCGATAGCAAGGTTTTCTAGCTGATCTACACAAAGGTCGGGGCGCAATGAAAAATTAATGCTTTCACGAATATAAAAGCAAACACCCCCGCCAAATCTTCCATTTAGTCTTCGATCACGACGAACTAACACATAATCGGAGAGTTGCTACAGAGAGACAGTTGTCGAGCTCTAACCACGAGTTTGTGTATAAATACTAAGGTGATGACAATGCACCGTGTATGGGTAAATATCAGGATTTTTACCGATAGTCCCAGCCTAGTCCCAGTCGTTCCGAAGCAAGCGCGAGAAAAAAGTGGATGTAGTACGAGACTGGGACCTGGGTGTGACGTCACCGGTCAAGGTGCTTCAGAACGCCTAGCAGATTTCAGTATTTTTAATATGGCGGAAAATTTATATATACAAGTAACCTTTAATTATAAATACGACAATGTTCGTTCATCATGTACATGTTCGATGTCTACATAACCAAATCAACTGTATTAATAATGTGCTCAACTAAAAAAATTATATACAAATTTACGATACCGAGTTTGAGCAATCGTTGATGTTATTTGATATTACTCGCACGTTGTGATCAACACTAGACCATACTGGTATACACAACTACGCTTTCTACTTGACAGGTTTAAATTGCTGAGGAGATTGGAAATATTTGCCTGACATGACGGTGTTGTCAAAACATTCTTAGTCGGAGACTCGGAATAATTTTCAAGCTTCTAGATAGCATTTAATATGGCTATATATTTTAGTAAACACGAGTCATATTATTCCATTCCGTTATTCCATTCTGACCGTATGGCCGCGAAACGTAGCCTACTTCATTGTTCCGACAGCATTAGAGCAAAACTAATGACTTAATTATAAATGCAAAGGAAATTTCTGAACATTTTCCATTTACAAATGAGGTATGCTTGGTAACCAGGCCAGGGACCACTTTTTTGAAATCAGGGACCATTTTACCGAAATCTGGGACCATTTTACCGAAATCTGCTAGGCTCTCTCGCTGAAGCGTTCCGCACAGCACACCCAGGCATAAAACTTTTAAGACTCTTATTTAAATATATCAAAGCAGCGAATAGAGAGAGAGAGCCTGGGACTAAGCTGCGATAGTCCCAGTTAGGGCTCTCACGTAGCATAGGGCATCAGAACATCGGCGGAAATTTGGCCCCAAAAGTGGTTGGGACTTGGAAATGAAATTTAGGGAAATTTGAGTTGGAAAACTCTCCACTTCAAGACCCTCATTGAAATTGGGGTACGGAATTGTTGTTTGGAAAAGTGGAAACAATGTTTCGGTCAATAAAATAATCGCGGAGAAAAATTGTTTGTTTTTGGAAACTTTCGGGACAGAACCATAGGCAACCCAATAGCTACAGGCGTGTTAAGTAAAGTATTTGACTAGAATATTTAAGCTTTTAATAAAATTGTTTAATATGGCGAAAATGTGTAGATAATTATGCATTTCTGCAGTTCTGCAGGTTGCGTGCTACGGGTGGGACGTCACTCACTCAAGTGATATTGCTTGTACCTTGTAGGGCCTTAAATGATTTCACGATTGTAGTAGTCTATATAGTGTGGTGAAAATTATTCATGAAAGTTTAATTATTATTAAAATATTTTAATAAATCTATATTCAATAATACTACAATCGTGTTGTTATCGGTTATCTTATTATATAAAATTGATATTTTCAATAGCGGTGTGAATATAGGATCCATAATATATATCAGTATTCATTAAGTCTGATAGTAGTTCCTCCAAGCTTTTTATACTACTATTACTCGAGACAGAATATTCTGACGAACTTGTTGCTCTCGAACGATAATCGTTCGATTCATCGAAGCTCTCCTCCGCGATTTGTTGACAATTGTTTACGGTCATTTCACGATTGTTTTCCGTATTGTTCCAATAGTCTACGGTTGTTCCACGGTTGCCAGCCGTCCTTTCACGATGGTCTGTCATTCTCTCACTGTAGTTTGATTTTAACGCATTAGATTTTGCAAAACTCTGTTCGAAAGATCCAAGAAGGGGTGTTTTACACGAGGTAACCATTGTTAGGTCACACCCTTCTGTTTCGTATGGTATAGATAGAAACTGGTAACCACCTTTACGCCCTCTCACCTAGAAATAAAACATTGACAAGAATCAATACAATGTAATGATCGATCGATAAACGCCGGGCTAATTCGCGACACAGAAGGCCATGATTTTTGTCTGCGAAAAATATCCAAGATGGCGGTGAAATATTCAAAATGGCCGTCATGGCTATTTTCGGATTTCCAAATTAAAATTTGATGGATATGAAGGTATTGAAAGGTTCAATTGTGGATCTTGTTGGATAATCGAGGACCCGTATGCAGTACAATGTTGTCAAGCTGTTCAAGAAGACATGTTGTTTTATATTCGAAGGTAAAATAAGCTTGCTATCTTCGATGTCAGAATGCTGTTATAGTCTAGTCTCACTAGTCAGAATCCTGAAGTTAATGCTTTCGGTAAGTGAGATTTTCGTTACATTTGGAAATTTTAAAACCATAGAATTCTTGCTAATTGTCTGAAGTTATCTAATTCACAGCTTTTTGGGTTTTAGATCCATGTGCTTTTCACAACTTTTGCTCTTTTGCCGTTGGTTAATACAAATGCGTCTGTCCAGCGACAATTTTATATGGGCAAGAAGAAGTCAAGTAACAAAGCCGCCGCAAGAAAGCGCTTCCCTGTTGGCGAACTTTCTAGAAAAAGGCAAGAATTAAAGGAAATTTTCTTAGCTAAAAATGCAAGCCTGCAAGTTGCCAAAAAAGATATTGATAATGTTTCAAAGAGGGTAAGTACTGAGTGTTCATCAAACTCTACATCTACACTAATCTTTCAGTTAATTTAAGACTGCAGTGGATTTCTTAGTGCATTAAAGTATGCTAGATATAAGAAATAATTAAAATATATATTAAATGCATTGGTTCAGCATATACTATAATAAAATATCATAAATTCTATAGTAATTAGCAAAAAATGTTCTTCTGCAGATTAAACGCCATAAAGAAAAAATTGTGTTGCTCAGTGTAGAAGAACAGTCCTTACAAGCAAAAAGGAGGAAACTTGAAGATAAAAAGACCAATAAACTACGAGCAAGTCTGAAAAGGAATTTGACCATAAGACGAAAAGCACCCTCTAAGTTAGATCCACATAACTCAGAGAAACTTCAATGTTCTCTCTCAGTTCGGTCAAACAGAAGAAGACGAAAAGAAACCTTAGATGTCTGTCAGAGTATACATGGGGATGCCGAAGGTAATAATGGAAGTGCTTTAACCCATTGAGTTGCATTGCACCCTGATGCACCCTACGTTAGTATTTTACTCTGTCTAACGCCAGACGATTTTACTCATCAATGGGAGAACGCTGGCGCTTAATGGGTTAATTAAGTTAAGACATGTAAATAAGTACTTGCTGTCTGGCAAATGTAAGCTTCGCTAGATCCATACTAGATCAGAGTCCAGTACCTTGATAGTATTTTGTAAATGAAACTGCCCAAGGCCGGACATTTTCAAAACATTTGAAACCAGTGATCTAAAACATTGTAGCTAGATTAAGACTGATGTTTATTTGAAAGTAGCACTAATTACGGCTTTATGAAATGAATTTTTTTCTTAACCCATTTACCGGCAGGATGTACTCTACCACTGACGAGTAAAATCATCTAGCGTTAAACAGAGTAAATACTAAAGTAGGGCGCACTGCCTGCTAACGGGTTAATTGACTGCACATCCATGGCGTGCGGTTTGCTAGCTATTACCCAGGAGTAGAAGCTAGTGATAATTTTGTTTTGAAAAACTTGCAGCTGCGACATTCTATTTTTAGGAGAAACCTCTGCAGCCCTTGATGGTATGTGGGCAACTATGGTTAATGAAAGTACATCTGGCCGACTAGAAACATATCTGGACAAATCACGAAAGATACGTAGTAAGGTTATCCCATCCTTAATGAGCAAACAAGTTAAAGTGTATCAAGATAGCAATGACAACATGTGTCGCAGTTTGAAAATTCTTTATGAGGATGGCCTTCTTGCTAAAAAGAAGTATAAGTCTATTTGTAGAAATGTCAAAGCAACAGTGGGTCAATCAATAACCAACCCAAAACTTGTTTATTATGACAAGTTGATTGCCTTTATAAAATCAGTAGATGTTCAAAATGTTCATGATTTTGCATCTGAGTTTAACAAGGATACAAGTAAATTTGAGGAACCAATTAATGGGTCCTATAGGGATTTCTGCAGTTACATAAAAGTGTTAGCCGAACTATATATACAAGTAGACCAAGCATTAGGGTCTGAGTCGTTTTTCCAACATTTTGGAGCATTGCCCTATCACTTTAGAATTGCTATTGGAGCGGATGGCGCTCCATTCGGAAAAGATGATGAAGCCACTGCTTGGCTTGTTTCGTTCTTAAATGTGGGTAAGCATATTCAAAGTGAAAGGGACAATTTCCTTTTATGTGGGGCAAACTGCTCAGAAAATCACCCAAGCATGAAACAGTACGCAAAGAAATTGATGCAAGATATCGCACACATTGAGACACAGTCATACATTATCAGCGGTTTTAATTGTAAATTTACAGTTGAACTTGTTCCCTCAGATATGAAATGGCTATCCACAATGAGCGGAGAGCTCAACAACGCAGCTTACTATTTTTCCCCTTTTGGAAATGTAAATGATGACAACAAACGGGTCAGAAATGGATCCCTAGGGGATGATCCGTCATGTACATGGCATCCCTGGAACTATAACGAAAGGATTAAGGTTGCTAGGGAAGTTGCAAATAAGAGGGAGGAACTATGCAGGTCCAATAATTCCAATGCCACTAAGAGAAATAAGCTTCTCAATTTCATTAGGGAGCAGGGGTCTAGACAGGAATATGAACCACTTCTGGGCAAATTAGTAGATTGTGGGTTTGCAGAGCCATTGCATAATAGTAACAATGCTTGGGCCTATTTTCATCAACTAATGCTTGAAACAGCTTTGGCTAAATCTTGCATTACAGGAAGCTGCAAACAGATCGAAGACCTACCCTCGGATAGTCCCTTTTCCCTTTACATCACAGTTTTGAAAAACCAACTGCGTGTTGGTCGGCTGGTTAAAAAAATAAGAACCTGGTTCAATGAAGGCCGGAAAGGTCCTTTTAGTTATAGGTTTACAGGAAAAGAAACCAGAATATTTTGTCACAAATTCATGTTTGTGCTGCATGCATTGAGCCAAGCAACTGACCCACCTCAGACTAAGTTGAAGATTGCATCCATAGCTTTCTGTTGCTTACAGTTAAGAGATGCAATATCATATTTCTCTCGTGTAGATATTACCCTTGCTGAGTTAGAACAGTGCAAGAAGGCTTGTTTATACCTTTTTAATGCCAATGCTCTGTTGTTAAAATCAGTCACACCAACACTGTGGACTGTTGGTTATGCTATACCAAGACACGTAGAAATATTATTTGATAGATACGGCATGGGATTGGGTATCAATAGTATGCAAGGCCGAGAAGCAAAACATGTAAGACTTTCTGAATTTGCCAAACACTCCACAAAATCAACAAGGTGGTCTATGGTCTTACGTCATGACTACATGTGTAATGTGTGGATCCGCATGAATGAGCCTGGCCGTGTTTTGTACACAACACACAAACACCACTACATACCTAGAGAAATAGAGCTGGAAACTTTCTGTTATTGTGGTTTCCCTATATGTAAAGGTCAGCAATGTAGTATTTGTATATCAGATGTTTTTAAAGCTGTCGAAGAGACAGCAATAGCTGGAGCATTGATCAAGGAAATACATAGATATATATAGTCCTAAATGGAATGTAAACGAGATCACATTAAAGGAGCTTAGCAAGTGTTTTAACACACTATTTTTAACTTAACTTTGTGCACAATTGGTAGCATATATTTAATACAGTCTGTAAAGTTGATAACATATTTTATGCTATAAGCAGACCTTGGTGTTTTAACACTCTTTTAAATTTTATGAAATTTTGTGTACATGTACAATTGTAATATGTTTAATACACTTTTGTGTAAAATTGTTGATGCATTTTTGCTTTAATAAACTATTTATTCAACAAATGGTTGTCCACTTTTGCATATGTTTAATATGTAACCACAATTGAAGAATTAAAGGAACGCAGTCGCAATTCGAGCGATATTATTTAGCACGATATGTTTACATTCAAACTTGAATTAGTTTTGGACAGAACTGAGCAAAGATTATGGCCAATATGACACTAAAATAATACCGCTCAAACAGACTGTGCGCCTTTAGCCACATGATGTTTGTACAGAATATTGTAGTCTGATTCAGTTATATTAGAGGCCGGCATTTACACTGGCTATTTGGACTAATTTATTTCGTCTGATCGATCCGGTTACAGCAAGCCAGTGGGGAAGATGAAAATTTGTCTTAACCCATTAAGCGCCAGCGCTCTCCCCTTGACGAGTAAAATTGTCTGGCGTTAGACAGAGTAAAATACTAAAGTGGGGTGCATCAGGGTGCAATGCGACTCAACGGGTTAACTAGACGCATGGGCAGATAGGCCAGTTAACCCATTAAGTGCCAGCGCTCTCCCCTTGACAAGTAAAATCGTCTGGCATTAGACAGAGTAAAATACTAAAGTGGGGTGCATCAGGGTGCAATGCGACTCAATGGGTTAATATTAAAATTCACTATCTCCCACTCGACAAGCAAAATCACCTGGCCATGTTAAACAGTAAAAGAGGTGCACATCATGGCCGAATGTTAATTAAAATCCTATACGAAAACATGATAGGTCACAAAACAGTTAAAGCTAGGATGAGGCCATTTTTTATTTTACACTAATGCCAGGCAATTTGATTCCCATGCATGTAAAGAATAATGCAGCTAGTGTTAATTTCCATACACATGCTTATAAACTATAATTTTTGAAACCATGCCTGTAGAAAAGGAAAAGCTAGCTACTTGGCAAATATACATGTATTTCTGAAATTATCGCTGAGCACCACCTGCAGGCACAATCTGTACAGGTTACCGGGAGGGGGGAAGGGGGGTGGTGTGCCATGCCTAGAAAAAAATTAGAATGTCATAATTTTAATTCCTGCTTGACCTAAGCACTAGTAGCTAGGGGCTGGGCTTTTCTACAAGCATGGGTGGAAATTTATAACCTGCATTCCACACTTCATATATAATGTCCATTATGTCCATACCATTCAACAACATCCATACCATTATAGTTAATGCTCAATAGTTATTATACTTCAACCCCGCAGCTTCAACCGTAACCAAGATTTATGAAAGAACATGTTGAGGAATGCCAAATGCATTCCAGCAGCCATAACGAGTTACATACTGAATATTTTCTTGTGTATTGGAGTATTTAACAATAAATGGATGTTCTGGTGAAACTATTGCTTTACAACATGAACCGTCTTTCAATAGTTTTGAAAAAAAATCTGTTTCTATAGTTCCAGAAATTGTATTATTGCCAGCGACATGCTTTACCCAGTTATAAACAGCATCCAAGTTTGATATTTCAAGCTGTTCAACAGATTTTGTTTTCTTCACAATATTACCATAGCCACCCCTTAAAATTGTTTCCTTTAGCAATTCAAATATTTCCACGGGAATGTTTCTGACAATACGGATTTGCCAAGGATGAGACAAGGTGGTAGAAGTTTTCATTCTTCTGCGAAGGATCTTGGTGAAGTGAAGCAACTCTCTCGAAAGCATTGGGAAAAGCTCCGCGACATGAAACTTACAAGCATCCTCTGCGGTAAATAAATATTTTTTTGCGACTTGTCTGGAATGCTCAAGAACTTCTGTTCCGATTTTCCCAGCCAATTCTTTGTCATTTGCCTTTTTAATGTATTTTTCGACTACTTCGTGCAAACTCACAAGAAGAGACGCCATCTTGAAAATAGTAGCAGCTGACCGAAAATATAATTAGTCTGCAGGCTCCTTCTGTTGTCATGTGTCCGAATTCAACACTCTTCTAGCCCGGCGTGTACTTCTACAGATTTTAATAATATCTGTAAGATACTTTTGTTATTTTGTGAAATAAAAGCTATATTTTTAGGTGTTTATCTTTTGATAACAGCATGCGCAATAAGGTGTCACCAATGTGTTTACGTGCATCTGACAAACAACAGAAGATGAAAGACCACTCTTTTACAGCAATCTAAAATGGCTAAATATTACATTCATTTTATTTGAGCATACAAATTATATTTTAAATTTTATATTTTTATCTATAAAGGACTTATTTCAAACTAAAAAAATTTTTATTTTTAGCGTCAGATTTCGAAATCTGACATTTTACAGCAACCTACATTGGCGCACACAACATTTTGGCCATAAATCCGCTGTTTTCTCCACAGAATCAAAAGGAATTTCATTTAAACTTCTTACCTGATGAATATTCAAAACGTTTATCTCTTTAATGACTTTCAATGCTCTGTCTGATTAGCCAAATAAAAAGCTTTTCATTTTGTCACCACACTCTGCATTTCAAAATGTCGGCTGTCAAAGTCTGAATTAACTCCTTTTCAACTGGCCCTGTGAAAACTATTGCAGAAATAACAACTTGAACAAGAAGACCAACAGTAGGTCATGAAAACAGTTGAAATCATGCCATAAAAATGCATGAGAAGTTCTTCTAAAAACGTATAGTTTTACACTAAATTGAACTTGCTTTAATGCTATTGAATTTTGTGACCGCATTTTGAAACATCGCCATTGTCACAAGTTTTGTGAAAGAAAAGTTTTAAAATTGAAAATCTTTGCCAATTTTTGATCAATTCTCTTGCATGAAGCCTCATCGTTTGATGGCCCAAATGTTGCACTTTATAGTTATACCATGCCTGAAATATACGAAAGGTTCTATTTTTTTGTTGTCGGTACACGTACCTGCGTACCGAGTTTTATAGTGTTTGTTATATAATCGGTGCAATTATCCAATAAATTTATTGATTTGTTATTCTCATAAATATAAAAATATCTTATAATGCAATTTGAAATCTGGAATATTTATGCGCTACTACTGTATATGCCAATATAACATTTACATTTACTTGCACTATAACAATTGCGGAGAATTTCAATATAACGTTTACTAGCTCTATGCTAGCGTACCCAGAAAATGTTAATATAACGTTTACTAGCTCTATAGTGGTGTACTAGCGTACCGGCGTACCCAGAGAATGTTAATATAACATTTACTAGCTCTATGGTGGTGTACTAACGTACCGGCGTACCCAGAAAATGTTAATATAACGTTTACTAGCTCTATAGTGGTGTACCGGCGTACCCAGAGAATGTTAATATAACGTTTACTAGCTCTATGGTGGTGTACTAACGTACCGGCGTACCCAGAAAATGTTAATATAACATTTACTAGCTCTATGGTGGTGTACTAGCGTACCGGCGTACCCAGAGAATGTTAATAAAACATTTACTAGCTCTATGGTGGTGTACTAACATACCGGCGTACCCAGAGAAATAGAGATTACGTCATGGTTGACGAGTGCGTACGATTTTTATTCACGAGTTGTGAAAGATTACTAACGAACGAGTGAGCGCAGCGAACGAGTGAGTTAGTAATCTTTCACAACGAGTGAATAAAAATCGTACAAACGAGTCAACCATGACGTAATTTGTTTATTATATATATAATGAACCGTGATAAATCGACAAAAAGGACTTTATAACGGTGGCCAATTGATAACAAAGTCAATCGACTTGAATGGTCCAAGGACAAATCAAATGTGTTTACAACATTTATTAGTTTAACATATGAAAAAGTGAAAACAATCATCCTAACAAATTAACAATCAACATCGAGATCAACATATACAGCTATGAAGATCTAATATAGCCAAAAGGAAGCCATTTGACAACTCAACACATAAAAATACATAATTAGACAAGTTGTCGCCACCTATACCGGTGGCTATAAAAACTGTATAAACTGTTTCAAAAAATTGTAGTTCAATCTGACTCAGAATCGCTCAGAAGTTTTAAACGTTTGTATGTTTTTGGTGGGCTATCCACATTTGTTATAGATAGTGTTGGAGACTGCTTGAGAGTATTTATTGATATATTTATACTCCCTCCACTTATCGTTGCGTTCGAAAACAGCGCCGGCATAGCATGTTCTTGGACATTGTGTTCGCTTGTCGTTTTCTGTCTGTTCGTCGACGAGTGAACTTCAACCCCTGAGTTTCCAGTGGTCAAGTTAGACAAATGACTCAGCTTTCCAGTGGCAACTGAACTGAGAGTTCTCGACATTTCCATTTGCTGTGACTCGTTGACAGTGGAATAATGAGTAACACTCTGCAGGTTCTTGTGGCCCGACAGTTGAATAATGTCTGTTGGTGGAAAGTTTTGGTTTACCAAGGCCTGCATCATTGTTTTCCTTCCGCTGTGGTTGGTAAATTTGGTAGTAAGTCCAGCTTTCGCAGCCATGTTCTTCATTATCGAATTTAGTTTATTAACCCCGGCGGGGGCTTTTTTGAACCAAGCTTTACATGAAACGGATTCAGGTTTCTTTAAATTGTTTACAGCAAGATAAAATGGGCTATCGTCGCTGTTCATTTCTGCCGGACGTTTTTCCGCAAAAAGTTTGTACGCAGCAATAGGATCTCTTTTATTTCCTGGTACGGAAAACATTTTTGGAGTTACTTTTCGCACATCTCTGGTGTTTTCCCCCGAGCGTGTTTTCGTTTGCCTTTCGTTGTATTCCAAATATTCCTCGCCAGAGACCGTTTTATGTAATTTCACGTCGCCCCAAGTCATATCGCGATGCTCTTTACAGCCACGTAATCCAAAGTGTATTGTATTGTTGAACCAAAGAGTGTTCAGTAAAGCATCGGGACTGGATGTGCCCATGCAGCAAGTCTTTTTCATACAAAACAGCTATGTCGTCTTCGCTGAGAGCAGATGAAGCATTCGGTTTATTTCCTTTCCCCTGTCGTTTTAAATCCTTTTGTTTTGAAACCAAAGCTTTTCGAGTCTGTTCAAACTGTAGATCTTTCATGATACTTAAACCATAGTTTTTCTTTTTTAAATGTCTTTCGAAGCTGGCTACCATACCGCGCAGGGAATTTGGCTCGTAATCCTTATTTTGTTTTGTACGAACCTTAATAATAAACTCGCTCAGGTAAAGGTTTAATTCCGCAGAAGGAATGTCTTCAATGCTTCTAGTTTCATTCTTGCTACTAAGAAACTCATTTAATAATGATAGATTTTGTTCAGTTTTTCTCTTTGTGTTTTCATTTTCTTGTTGTTCGATGAATTCGTCGACAGAAATGTCAAGGTCTGCAAAACGGGAAGCCATGGCCGGTAATTGGCGGGAAAATTCGATACTTTTTTTTCACATGTGAGAAAAATCGTCCGCGATCTCTGATTGGTCGGACGATTTTTTTCACATGTGAGGAACATCGTCTCAATTACGCAATGCGTCGTAGATGAGTTTTATCTTGGCACTTGCCGAGTGTGAATATTACGGTATGTATATAATAATGTTAATATAACATTTACTAGCTCTATGGTGGTGTACTAACGTACCGGCGTACCCAGAAAATGTTAATATAACATTTACTAGCTATATGGTGGTGTACTAGCATACCGGCGTACCCAGAGAATGTTAATAAAACATTTACTAGCTCTATGGTGGTGTACTAACGTACCGGCGTACCCAGAGAATGTTAATATAACATTTACTAGCTCTATGGTGGTGTACTAGCGTACCGGCGTACCCAGAGAATGTTAATATAACGCTTACTAGCTCTATGGTGGTGTACCGGCGTACCCAGAGAATGTTAATATAACGCTTACTAGCTCTATGGTGGTGTACTAACGTACCGGCGTACCCAGAGAATGTTAATATAACATTTACTAGCTGTATTGTTGCGTACTAGCTAACGTCTAGCCTATATTAAAGACGTTTAAACGAGTTGCTTGGTTTTTTTGTAACTCCATTTTGAGTTACAGAAGCGTAATTTTATATCATGAAAATTGCTTCCAAACTACAGTATGTATATGCTATTCTTTTTCGGAAAGCAAGCTAAAACATTTTGCTGGGGATTGGCCTACATTACGATTTGAATCGGTCGATCATTCTCATCGCTCATTGGCTTCTCCATCAAGCTCACGTGGTTCCGGCATTGGAAGATTTCCAATCGAAATATAAGTATTCTATGACCATCATTAGCATTCAGCTATCTGGGAGCGCACACACACAACTATTCCTTGCAGTTGTCAAGAGTCAGCGATTTAATATATACGGTATGTATTTTTTAAACAAGACAAAACTTTATCAATTTGATCTATCCATGACATCCTTTATGGTATGTGTGCGTCAAGATCTCCTGTCAAAGGACTGTCCGTGCGAGAAGACCAGGACGGTGTACGTTCACTGCATTCCAAGATTGGTGATCGGCGCTACAAACGGATCGCGAATTTCTATTTTAGCATCCAGACCCTAGTCACATTCCCAGGGAAAAATAAATTGAACGGTTACATTCTCGACGTTAACCGCATAGGTGGGACGTCAATGTAAGTATACGATCTTCACTTTTTGGAAATTAAGCCAAGGTTCCAAATGAGGCCAGTTGTGCCTGGGAACCCAATCTCATAAATTTTCCAATTTTAGGGGGAAAAAATGGTAAAAATTGAAAAACTAGGCAACCAGAAAGCGTAAACTAGGATGCTCTGATATAGGTCACAAAATCGGTTGTCAGTTTGTGTTGTGTACGTGTATTCTACATTATCGTGCTTAATTTCGAAATATTCTGCTATTTTAACACCCTATGTAAAGCTGTTTCCGTATTATATTAATAATCTCTGTTTTAGGAATGTTTTTATTCTGTCAACATGTCTAGATTTAGATTAAAACAACGTCATTACGCGCGATTGGTATTTTGGAGTCTGGGAACGTCCTAGTTTTTGACGACAACAGCCTAGTTTTTTTCCAAATAAGGTAATTCTAGGACGTTCTCAGACCCCTCCGCACAAAAAACTAGCACGTTCCCAGTCTTCTTCACCTTCTCACGTCCAGAAAACTAGGCAGTTTGCATTTATATAATTACAATGCGTGATATCCGAAAGTACATTTGCGCAAATCTGTCGCAATAACATTGGTGTAATCAGAAAAAAAGCAAGAAATACATTATATTCTTTGTATTCAGTACAGCTATCAATAGTACAATGTACTGAATATTAGTTATTACGCTTATCACTCACTTATTGAGGCAATGATTATTTACGCAAATAACGCAATAACGAATTGTTATTCATGTTTGGCGTACATTACATTGTAATTTTTAAGAGATACGTAGTCATCAACTAAATTGTTGTTCTGAAACGAATTTATAACTTGTTCAAGTAGAGCAGAAATCAATTCAAAGCAGCTAAAATTACTGCTTATACGCAAGACATAACGCTTGATATCGTTTGTGTCGGATATCTGCGATTTATACTAGGTGTTTATGCATGTTTTTTGTCGGATTACTAGGTGTTCTGCGCATTGTAAATTGTAATTAAGGTTTCCTTTAATTGCGTCACAACATTCCTTCAGTTCCTTGCCGCCTGGCCATATCCTGCTGCGTTCTTGACTTTTTCGAACGCGTAATATGACGAATTTCGGTTAAATATTCAGTTGGACATTTGTTCCCTTACACGCGTTTTGCTAAAACAGAAATTATGTTAGCCAAAGCAGTGTCTGAGCGAAAAATGGAAATTTAGAGCATTTTTCGACCCATGACTTTTACGCACGACTTTTCACCCACGACGCACAACTTTTACCCACGACACACGATAAAAACTCAAAACTCTGCCGCAACGAAAGCTTCTAAAAACACCAAGTTTCACGCAAAAACAGCCCTAAAACTTGCTCTTCTCGCTGAAGTCAATGAAAAATTATTTCAGCCAAAACTTCGGGAATAATGAGCTTCTGACGTTCGGTTCGATTACGCTGCAATACCAAAATTTAAATTTTGTTTTTAATCACAATAAAAATGACTTACATTATCAAAAAGCTTACAAAAAACTACACATAAGACTTTTAAACAGATTTGTCATTCTTTAAATAGTTATTGAGTTATTGCTGTTTTAAATGTGAAGATTGGACCAAATGCTCGCAAAAAGGACTGGGTACTAGGTTTTTGACAAAGCTTGACAACGTATAATTCGAAAACAATTTGAGAAAAAAACTGTTGTTAGCTTTAGCTTTCTGTTTAAATGCAATTTATTTTTCTTGTGATTGAATCCAATTGAATAGAAGATTGATTTTCTCATGCCCTCCTCTGACCATATTCAACACCATGTGTTGGGCAGAAGATCACTTTTACGTATCCACAGATATTACTGTGTATTTAAAATACTCATTAATAATTCATAAACCTTGTGGCAAATCATGTCGGCCATAATATGTCACGTGGAGTGACTTTATATCTGTTAAAGCATGAGGCATTATATAATTGTTCATCCTAATTAGTATGATTATATAATGGTTCATCCTAATTAGTATTCTTTTGTAGTCGTATTTTAAGCTATTCAAAATACTCGTTGTCGTGTTTTATCAGATATAAAACGCTCCGCTGCGCCTCGCATTTTATATCTGATAAAACACTCCTACTCGTGTTTTAAATAGTACATAGATCACTACTATAAGCATAAAAAAATTGGTACCCTTTTCCAGTGGCGAAACTACTGGGCCAAATGGGGCCCCCCACAGGCTGTGGGGCAAAAACATTGGCCAAGACTTCTGATGTGTTACAATGTCGTTTTCTCAAGACTCCCGATGTGTTACAATGTCGTTTTCTGATCATCACTCCATCAGAATTCTGCAAAAGCGGGTGAGCATGTCCTGGACCCCCTAAAAAACTTGTGCATATACGGCGGTCGACTCGTGCTTTTGGCACTTATACCATGAGGGGGCCTTCGAAAATTTTGAACCGGAGGCCCCCTGATATAACGTTACGCCACTGCCCTTTTCATTTAAGCAAACACCCTTGGCTGCCGGTCTATAAATATTGTGTGAGCACTTGCGAACTATGCAACTACTTCTTGTTTCAGGCTAAGCTTGGCTCAACTACTTCAGGCTAAGCTTGTCTTTTTTGTTATTAAAATTTTTATGTTTTAATTAAATGAGACAAATACTGATTTTGATTAATTAACTTCAATCACACTGTGCTTCAATTGCCTCCATCTGGGCAAATGTTGGTTTTGAAATGACCCACCCTGTCCCCTGGGAAACGTGAAATGAGCAAATGCCCTGATGTGGCTGGTCCAATCTTTGACCACATGGATAGTCAGAAGGGTGAATATATTGGATGACGTCATCTATGGCAACTGAGACTGAGGGCCTTTAGGTAGAAGCGACTGGTGGTCGTTTTATCGAGTTGAAGAGCTTTATTGAGGGGGGTTAACCCCCCCCCCCCCTAAGCCCCAGTAAATCTGCCCTTGTTAGTAAAATCCCAATATACACTCTTGGATTCAGTAAGCTGTAAATTACTGTAAAAACAGATTTTGTAACTGCATTGAAACAAAAATAGAACATGTATCAAACCTGTACAGTGGTTGCCAATAATCGATGTGGCCGCCGCCAGCACTTATAATAAAGAACAGGCCCCTAGACCATGACTGGAAAGCCTTCAAGCCACCTGTATCCTTATTGCATGCAATATCCTCCAGGGCCGCCAGGTTTTCAACAAATGTGGGATTCTTGTGAATAAATTCAGATGTGCCTAAATATATATTTAATAAACATATGATTGTGAGAAACTGCTGAATAGAATTTGCCAAATTAACAAATATATGTAGAAGGGTCAAACCATGCATTACTACAATGCAGTAAAGTTCTGACTATATTTTAAGTATGGCTAAAATGGTTCTTACATAACAGGTAATTAGAGTGAAATCTGACTGATTTTTACTGTATGATCCCTATTATGTCCTGACGGGGGTTATTCTTGTCATGTCCTTTTGAGGGCGGGGGTGGCTTATTACAGAGGGGGCTCAACAGTTTACAGTACTTCCAGAAAAAAACATATGTTCCTGGCTAAGTGTCAGTTTTAAATTTCAAAAATTTCTAATTAGCATACGATTGACCTGGAAGGTCTTGTACTTCCATAAATTAAATATTATCATCCTAAATATATCGAAATAATAAATTGATATTTTTAATGGTTGAATTTCATGTGCAGATACGTTTTCCAACAAGTATTTTAATTGTTAATTGTCTCCACGCAAATATATATCTGAGTTTGCAAGAACCCAAGTTATCTCTTTTTCGACCACCCCCTTTCGCATCAGATTACGACACAATTTTTCTAATATAAATATCTCGGCGAGTATTTACCCCCCTTGTAAATAAAAGCCACCATTGAAATCCTAATAAAATAACCTTTCGAACGGGGGGTCAAGTGCCATCAGAGCATTACACAAACCGAAACAATCATATATTTACTCACCGCTTGGCCAAAAATTCTAGATTTTATATCTACAAGATCTTGAATATCTCTTGAACTTTTCGTCATTTTCTGAACGGCTATATGTGTAAAATACTCTTTGTATCCAAGCGCTTTCGTGTAGAAAGTTTGGTATGTATACGCCGACTAGAAATATTTATTTTGAATTTTTCAAGGTATCGGGTTTTAGTACGTTTTACTCGCACTTGTGAACATTGTGCAATAATTGGCCAATAAGAAGCTCCTGTTGGCCGGTATGACGTCAAACTCACGCGTGTAGGTGCAATTTGACCTTGCAAATCCATTTCTGGCCTTTCCAGGGTCATATGATACAAACGTCGCATTGTTTTGACGGTTTTCAGACTTATTTCCGGTTGGGATTAACTCACTTCGAGCTCACAGTCAGACAAGAAATGGAAATATATTGATAAAAGATACAGATTTGAAGATACAGGCTTGCAAATAACACTCTAAATAGTGTTTTTGATGGGGATTCGAACAAGACTATTACAAAGACGATATGTGCGAAGGGGCCGAAGTTATTTTCAGCCAAAGGTATGGCTAGTCTATATTTTGTTCAGACAATTGCGTAATTTGATACAATATTATCGTGTTTGACTATCAAAGGCCCATAAATCGTTACAATGTTAATAATGACTATAACTATCGTTTGGAACTAGTCTATCTTTTATTTCTGAATCGATTGGTGGTATTTCTGTCTTCATAGCATGCACTGAACCGAAGGTATAAAATTTTATAGCCGTCGATCGCTCAGGATCGACGCGATATGGCCTGTGGCGAGAAAGAGTTATTCTACCTTGAAATGTAGAAGCGTTATCTCTACTTTCGTTCAGATCGCTGTCAGCAAATTCATCCAAACACTTGCTGACAGATTCGAGATTAGTATCTAAAACATGTAAAGCAAAGCTATTTTATTGACTGCTCACAAAAAACTGAGGCTACAGTGCAAAATCAATTACAGTAAATCAGTTTCAAGATTAATTTAATTAAACATACCACTTAATGAAACGTCTAAAGATATTTCTTTCACAACTAAAATGTATAAGAATATACAGTAATAATAAAATAAATTGCTTTATTTGCTTATAATGAATACCAAGACCACCATCACCATTTTCAGAAATGTATACTGAAAACTGAATTAAGGAACCAATTGACTATTCTCTTGATAAATTTAGTCTTAAAGGTATTATACTTAATAGGTATTTCGAACATAGTCGAGAAAAACCTCGTAAAACTAGCCTCTCATGTAATACACTATATTCTTTACTATAACCAAATGCAATTAGACATCTTACAGCCAGTCTCATAATGTCAATCCAAAGTAGGTTTTCGGTTCATTTGAAAGAAAAAATAATCAATGGAACAAAAAATAGGAATAAATACAGTGCGTGGGTTTAATTTCTTCTAGCAACCCTTTAGAACAGTTCATGATAATATACAATATTCTGCAACAAACCTTCTTCAACATCTCGCTCAGCAACACCACACCTTTTAAAAAATTCCCTCAACTCTGTTGGATGTCCAAGTGCTTGTGATCTCTCACAGTGAGCTGGGCAGAACACATGTCCTCTTTTTGGTGAGAGAGGACAGATGCTAGGGTAGTTGATGACTTTTCCAAATCCGGGTATTTCAACAGGAACTTTCCACATGCAATGGGCATAGCGAAGTTTCCAGTTCCCGTCAGCGACATACAACTGGCCACAACCTACACAATTTAGGTGACAAGTATATATTATACTTCATGCACATAATTTTTATATTATCTATAATCCACATTTAATGATTTGATTATTTACTTCGAAGTACTTTCAAATAAAGTACAGTACAGTACATATTTATTAACCCTTTTAAATCAGACTACTTTCTTAATTAATTACATATATATCTTCTGAAATCAGTGGCAAATACTGCAATTTCAATGGAGTGCGATTTAAGCATTAATCGCACCCTTTGTGAGCTGTAATCTTGCACCCTTGTCCACAGCTAGTGAAATTCAGCATAGTTTTTGCAACTAGCCAATCAGCATTCAAGATACAAAGAACATTTTTTTTGTTCTTAATATGGTTCACATATGTATTATATATATCATATTATAAGAATTGCAGTACGAAAAGTTATCTCACCTTTCCCCTTGCAATGGTCTGAGCAGTGATGCGGATAGATTTCATTCAATCTTTTTCGGTCAAAATATTCCATAGCATCATCATAGTTTCCAGAAGTAAGTGTGGCTTTTGATGATGAAAATACCCATTCTTCTCGAAGACTATGCTCCAGCAGTTCCTCCTCAACTTCACGGTGCCAAAAACATTTCGCTATAGCCTTAGCAGACATTTCACCGGGTAATAATCCTAAAACACATCAGATATTAGTTAAATTAACTGCAAAAAGCACATGTGGACAGCTCTAGTTAGACTTGCACCAAGTCTGCCCATGTGCAGACCCTAGGGCAGAGTGTGTTTTCCCACCAATGGTTAACATTTAAAAGTCTACAATAGACCTTTCCCCTTTCAAGTGAAATTTTGATCTAGACTAGCCTGGACAAAACTTTCATCACATCTTGAAAGAGCGTCACAAAATTAATAATCATCATCTGTTGACTCAAAACAATAACAGAGTTGCATCGATAAATTTTCCTGATCTTTTGCGAAATAATATGTAATTTTGAAGCATGCTGATTAAATTAAGCTACCCTTCATTTTGCCGTATATTAATACACATATTGTAAATATAAAATTGTAAATTTTCGGCAATATTGTTTACAATTAGAAAATATAAAGTTGTTGGAAAATTACATTTTCAAGACTTCTATATTTCCACTTTGTGGGTAGATATATTTTCATCTTTTTTCCTGTATTTTCTGATAGGATTGTGAGTTTGGACTTCGGGCACATGAAACTGCAATCACTAATCAGTATTACATGCTACATCCAGGTGATCTTGATACGCGGAAAAGTACTGGCACTAGTTGTCAAATAGAAATCCATTTTATGATTAAAACAACTGAATATCTCCTGTAATATACTTTATTTCGATTCCATATTTTTGTCAGAGCTATAGTTCTCATAACCAAACATAATTACAAAATTTCAACTAGTTTAATAAAGAATAACGAAAGATATAATTGACTGAATACATCAAAATGGATTTCTATTCGGACAACCCTTTCTGAGCGCTGATTGGCTAAAATACAAACACGAGATCACCTGGATTACTGCTGAAATCGTTCTATTACAAATCTCATTTGAAATAATTATTGTATAACTTCACAATTAAAATACTAATATTGTTCAGAAATATCTTCTTTTAGCAAAAGAACAGAATAAAATAAAAGCAACTTTGTTATTTATTGGAGTCAACAGGGAACATGGTAGCAACTTGACAAAATGACAGTTGCAATTTGTGTGTGTCAGTTGCAACTTGCTCTGTGCAATTAGCGAATGAACATCACATTGTTGATTGCAATGTTACAATATTGCATGGAAATGAACAACAGTTTGACTGTGTTTTCCTCTTTATCATTTGTATTGCAATGTATGTCCTGCAGTAATCCCTATTAAAACAATGTTTGTTTGCCTGCTACATTATAAGTACTAGATAAAACATGAGCAGATAAAACTGGGGTCCCAGGGAAAGTGTGATCGCTGAGAACAATTAATGCATCTAATGTTAAAAAATCTTGAAGATTGGTGCTCATGATTGGAACATAATGTCCTGAAATTTTGTCTAGCATACCGAAAAAGTTGCTGGACAAAGTGTCCCTCAGCTGAAAATATTTTTTCAAGACTTGCCTTTACTACATTTTGATCAGTTATGACAAAGTTCTGATATATGCTTGGTACCGGTACTTACCAATATTCTTTTCATCCTGATCTGTTTCATTTTCATCATCAATCTTTGATGCATCTAAACAAAAATTACATACAAATCAATTTTTCTTACCTTAGTACCACAGTTGCATACTGAGTATTCCAGAAAGCACATTAATCAAGTTATTACTGAAAGTGAGACTTAAAGTAATAAACTGATAATCACCTGGTGATTGGATTGGCCTCTAATTTTTACGGAGTTAAGGGGCTACCAAAAGCGCATACACCAAATATATGATTTTCCCAGCCCACCCCGCCTCCCTTTTACTTTATGACCAGTCCCTTATCTCAAAACACTCACCAATAGCACTTTCAATATATTTTATAACATTTAGCTACTGTTACAAATTTCTTAATAGCTGCACAAACATTGGAGGGGACATATTTAGCGGGGGACCTGGAGAAGTTCCAGTCAGCAAGTCTGTATCACTGCAGCTACCAGCATATATGTGCATGGTAAGTATACGTCATAGGGAAGCAGATCAGGCTGTAACTAGGATTCTGAGACAACTGCGTCGACCACCAAAGGTGCAAGCTTGTAGAGGGGCATGAGTTGGATTTCTTGAAGCTCAGATAAGCTATTTCCCGCATTTTGTGGAGTTTTCCAACAAGAAATTAACCTTATAAACAGTGACACAATCACTACAATTTCACAGTCTCCCAAATGTAATCCAGTCAACATAGTAAGGCAACATGATGTGATGATGCAGTAATTAACATGTGTGTGTGGTATAGTATTATCATTCACCACACTTCAAATTCTACAGTACTGTATTACATGTATTGGGGTACTTGAAATCGATGCATTCATCTTCTCAGTGTCACTGAAGAGCAAGATAGAGTGGTCTCTTTGGAATATCTTTGCTTGGAAAAACTACTGTAAACTAGAATTTCGTCCTAACATGCCACTTCATGCTTTGTTCCACGAGCAAATTATTTCAGTCATGGTTTCGGTTTCTGGCAATGTTTAAATTTCAGTCCCCAAATTCTGGCCTACCAAGTCAACTGACTCGGTTGGCTCATAACTAGTTACAGGCCTGCACATGATGGTCAAATTCAGAAATGTTCACAACTTAACATCGTTTTCTCACTTTGATACATAATTGCTGGTTGACCACTTACTGCAGGTAGTTCTTTGGCATAAATTTTACACATGGATTGTTAAACAGAGTAAAATACCAAAGTAGGGCACATATACTTGGGTTACTGTAAACAAAAAAGGGTACGAAATTGGTGAAAACTAAATACTGGGGTCAGCACACAAGTTGACCTCAACTGGCGCATCATCTTAGGCATGACTTGTGAGGTTTACACAGAATGCACCATGGCTTGACACACTCTGCACCACCACAAACATGGCTATGCTAAAACTGTGACCTACTGCGGATGGTAATAAGTCTAATTAATATAAAATGCACTAAATATGCAACCAACCTTTTAAAATAGAACCATAACGTTGAATTTCCTTCTCATACACATCATTATATGACTCGGCAAATCCACTGAAGGACACCCAACTATGATTACTATGTGCAAAAAGTATAAAATACCAGTCTTCGTTAATAGTATAAACGTTTTGTCTATAAAGAATGTTTAAAGAAGATTGTTCAGAAGCACTCACCTCAGGGATGGAAACCACTTATATAAACTCAGCTCGAAATAGGTCACATTGCTGATCTCCACCATTTCAATACTCATATATGAGGGATAAAAGTGCTTTCCCGATGCTTCAGTATAGTTACAAACTCCAAAGATTTGGCAGCACTCCCTACACTCCAAGGTCACTTTGGAACACGGAATCGGGCCGTTCAACGTGAAAAGGGTAACCTTGCATGGATTATTGCGAATAGTTAGCTTCCTATCACACTGCATACACAAGGACACTGGAGGCGTAAGAAACTTGTTGAAAGGCGTAGACTGTTCCTGCTCCGTAAGCCTCCACAACACATCACCATCGTCTTTCTTGGCTAGGAACAACGAACAATACTTTTCCGCAAACTCCGTATACAGTTCAAGATCCTCAACGGATACTGTCGCTTCGTTGCTGGTTGTAGCACACGTGGGTGACGACAAAATGTTAAAAACTTTGTGTATTAACATCGAGCAGATTCCATTGACCACGCGAACGATGTTAGCCGGAACGTGGTTGATAGCCTTTCTCAGATTAAAAAGACCTTCGATCGAAAGTGAGCTACCAAGTATTTGTAGCGCTTCATCTTGAGTTAAATCGTGATTTTCTGTCACGAAGCGACGCAGATCCAATTCTTTCAAAGCGTTAATTTGCTGCCGAATTTCGCGAACACACTTTTCCTTCGACTGAATTCTGGCCTGAATGGCGTTGAAATCAAACATTTTCGATGTTTTTTGTTTTTTTGATTGCCTGTGCGACATATTCGTGCAAAGAAACAAACCAAAAAAAGGCAAAGTCGAGCAAATACCGTGCCAAATGTAAATGCAAATGCAAATACAAAAGAATGTGCAGGGCAAGGTCGGAAGGACTGGGTACGAGGACTCGAGTACGCCGGTACGCGTACCATCTGAACTTTTATTATACCCTGCGTATATATTAGGCATCATTTGTTTATAGTTGTGACCGTTGCTAGGCAACACAATAAATATGTGCTAGACAATCATGCTCAGGGAAAATCTTACGATTTCAAAAAAAGTTGGGGAATTTTGACATACGAACCCCAAAAAGAAGTATGTGGTCTTTTTACTCCCCGCCATACAATAGAACCACTATGAGATGCAGCCTTCTGCCTCCTGCCAGATCTTTACTGCCTTTGGTTGTTATAGTTAAGACCCTTGCTCTTTTGCTATACTCTTCCTTTTGGCTTTACAGCACCACTCATTGGATTTCCTTTAAAAATAAATATGTCATCCAAATAAAATGCCACATGTTTTGACAAGTAATCTGGAGGACAGGTGTTTCTTGGTCTGTAGAATACCGCTATGTTTAACCACATCCATCACAGCAAAGTTAGGGTCCTCTCACCACAATTTAAGTACAGCTCTGTTAAGCTTTCTCCGGTCACACAATGTCAATGCTTTATGACATCCACATTTGCTACAACTTTTGTCATTGCCCTTTCCACCTTTGTCTCAAACAATCTGCCACACACTGGACTTCGAAATAAAGCAAAAGCTCTGCAGTGAGTTGTTTTCTCAATGTCATTACATTTGCTCATGTGAAGTGTAAGCCAATGTTTGTGACGTCATTTAATTGAATGTCCAATGTGCGACGTCTTGCATAAGTCATTCTCAATGCGGATTGAATATTCTTTTACTAACTACATAAACTAACTGCAGAAAACCTTTCAAATATTTTGGTAGTTTACAGACAATCATTAACAAACATGTTTGTGATGGACCATGTAAACAACAATTGTTGTTATTTTGTATAAATTCACTTATTCAACTCATTTCCCTCAGCCGCCCTAAATCAATGTTGACGTAATTGAGGTGAAATCACATTAAATTTCTGTGTTTTTTCTGTGTTGGTGTTATGTACGCAGGTGAATATGATGTTTTGTCATTTTACTCTGAGTGTATATCCACACTGGACAAACTTGAAAAACATGCAAAACAAAATTTTTGTTGTTACCCAATACAACATTGATTTTGGGGCTGTGGGTTGGTCTGAGTAAAAGGTTAATCATTTCAATTAAATTGTCAATGATTGTAGCTCAGGTCATTGTACAATTGTAGAATGGAAATACAAATGAATAAAATGGCCTTTGCCCATTGTAATGAATTGAAATATATTTTACTCCAACTTACAACTCTTGATTTTGATGCAAAGTGGAGATTAAAAATTCGCTTATGATCATTCACAATACGATCAGACAACAAGGCAATTTAAAAGTTTGCAAAAATTGTTCTGTCTATACAAAACTAAACTAAAGTCAACAATATTAATGATTTATTTAATGGTTTCTGCTTACTGCACTTACATGGCTTAACTGGGAAAGAGGTGGTGGATATTTTGCAACTACTTCCTCAACTCGAACTCCACAAAGAATTTGCCTTCTCAGCACAAATGTAGTTTCCATTACCCCCTTTGCCAATTTTACATCACATGGCTTTTGCCAATTTTTTCCATATCATCTCACCTTGTTATCGCCCTGATAAAGGCACTACTGTGATTTGTGATAAATATTTATATATAACCCTGTTCTTTGTAATTTTCTTATCTGCTAAACAAGGATATTTCTTTATGACCATCTTGGACACATCTGTAAACAAAATAAACACATCTGTAAACAAAATTAAACACACCTGTAAACAAAATTAAACACACCTGTAAACAAAATTAAACATTTGCGGTTGAGCAAGTGATGTTAGTTATTATGTAACAGACTTTTTGCTGAACATGATGACCGATATGATGTTGTTACATGTCAACACCAGTTCACAGTTGTTTCTAAGACCCAAAATTAAAACGATATGATGCAATATTGATGGCATAAGTGACAAATCATCAAATGAGTAGTGACAAATTATCAAATGAGTCTGAGGCTTTATCAGACCACGAGCCAGACAACTGCGAATCACTTCCAATAGCAAATTAAAAGTCGAAGCAGGTCCAGAATAAGTGATATGCTTTTAGACAGCAATGAAAACATTACTTCAAACAAAACTAATGGGGTTTTAAAGTAAATGTACTTAAAAACAACACACAAGATACCCAAGTGACATTTAGAAAGTGTCATTTAGACCCAAGTTCTGAAATAACAGCCATCATAAGTTGATTTTGTTGCTGCTGTTGTTGCATAATCATAATACACATAAATAACCAGACAATAATAAAATGTTAAACTGACAAGAACTCTTTATAGCTTGTATAACACCTCTTTGGTACCAGGTGACTGTTAAACCATTGAACAGCCTTCTTTAATGCTCAATTAAAGTTGACACTTATTTCGGGATTAAAATTTGTTTGTTCTGCAGAAAATTTATTCATAACACTTGGTGAGTCATGAAAATAAAGAAAGAAAATATTTAATCAGGCACTTACTGAGGAGTCCTCTTTTGAGCATGTGTTTATCCAGCAGGTAGTTATTCACTGCACTATCCATGCCTCGTGCAACACATTTTTATCCTGCGTATAACTATCCTTTGGATAAGCA